GTGAGTGAGTGAGTGAGTGAGTGAGTGAGTGAGTGAGTGAGTGAGTGAGTGAGTGAGTGAGTGAGTGAGTGAGTGAGTGAGTGAGTGAGTGAGTGAGTGAGTGAGTGAGTGAGTGAGTGAGTGAGTGAGTGAGTGAGTGAGTGAGTGAGTGAGTGAGTGAGTGAGTGAGTGAGTGAGTGAGTGAGTGAGTGAGTGAGTGAGTGAGTGAGTGAGTGAGTGAGTGAGTGAGTGAGTGAGTGAGTGAGTGAGTGAGTGAGTGAGTGAGTGAGTGAGTGAGTGAGTGAGTGAGTGAGTGAGTGAGTGAGTGAGTGAGTGTCTGTGTGAGTGTCTGTGTGTGTGTGTGTGTGTGAGTGTGTGTGTGTGAGTGAGTGAGTGCGAGTGCGAGCGCGAGTGTGCGAGTGTGCGTGTGAGTGTGGGAGAGATATAATTCTTCTATTTACTATTTTCTAAAAAGCCACTAATGTCAGTCTCACCAGGATTGAAATTATTTATTTTGCAGTGGCTTTTCTCAAAAATTGTGATGCATTTGTTCTGTGTTCTGTGAAAACCTACCAATAGTTATTTAATTGTCGAGTATGCCCTGCTTACAATTAGCCATAAATATGTTAATGCATTCATCCTCTGTAACATCCCAGTAAGAACATTTAATTTCACGGACTTTAATTGAAGATGTCTTCGCCAAGCACTAATCTGATCGTTGTGCGCATGCGCATCATACCAGGGATTTGGGAGAGTCCAGCACGTCTTCAGCGCCAGAGAATCTGAATCATTTTAGCCAATCGGTTCGTTCGGACGGTTCGTTTCAATGAACTGATTCACAACCGAGTCATCACTCTGAAGCGTTACAAAGTTTCCGCGTGGAATTGTACTTTCTTTTCTATCATGAAATTGTTGTTTAATATTGATTGTTTATTATTAGGTTATACAGCGGCGTCAAATAGTGTATTAAACTTTATTATTAATAACCGGACGTCACTAATAATTAACAGCCGGTTGAAATAACGCTATTTCTTAACTGTATTGCTGTCAGATATAATAATATTGTTCCAATCTCAGTTTTACACTGACTAATACAACATCGTACAGTCCGGTGTTCTCCAAACGCTTCGCGAATCGATTCGACCGAGTCTTTTAAATGATTCAGTTCATAAGAACGAGTCGCTCGTGAATCGGGCTTCACAATCAGCGTCGTATAACGGGATCTGTGATCCGGCAGGGCGATGGCTCGGACCCTACACCGAAACCAAATAAAGCTGGACTCGGAAAACCACTGTCCTGCATTGCACCGTGTTTAAGTACGTGACCGACAGCGCGCGCGGGGGCCGGTGTGCCGGTGACGTCAGAGGAGCGGCGGTCCTCATTGTCTGTGAAGCAGCTCGTTTTCATCACGTATGCCTTCTGTGTTCTCCGTGTCGCGTGTTACATCTCAATCTGTAATCTAAGATCAAATGCTGTTTGTGTCTGATCTGACACGCTGGTCTGTGTATAAATCAGATGGGAGTCAGTGTGGTGCGCCTGTAAGCACATAAGCTGTGCGCAGAGGATACGGGGCTTCATAGCTGGATTCCTGCGCTTATACACAACTAAAGTTGTGCATTGCATGCTGTCAGAACTAGTATGCTGGTTGATATATGTTGACAGGCCACCCCGCCGAGGGCCGTAGCTCTGCTGCTGGACCCAGAGGTCACAAGGGGCCCAGAGGTTCCTAGGGGCCCACAGCAATTTCTTAATCGTGCTTTAAAGAAAGTCCCAGAATTCCTAGCTCCGGCCGGGTTGTGGGCCGTCCATGCCGGTGTCCTGCTGCGGGACCGTCCATCACGGCTCCTCTCCGAGGAGAGTCATCCACAAGAAGCCGGGAATCAGGACTTGTTTGAGTCAGCCGTGCTCTTCTGTCGGGCTGAGGATGCTGCGGACTGCGCTCAGTCTGGAGGGAGTCGAGGAGCGAGACGAGGAGCAGGAGGACGAAGGAGAAGATCCGAGGGATGGCGGGATCCCGTTCATTATTAATAGGGGAGGTCTGCCCATAAACGAGGAGACCTGGGAGCAGATGTGGCGGCACGTCGCCCGCATACACCCGGATGGAGAAGCAGTGGCCAGGAGGATACGGGGAACCGGCGACCTCCCCAAGGTACAGCGTTCACAGCTACAAGTGTGCCAAAACACCCAGTGGATGTTCTTCTGGTGGGCCTTTCCCAAGTACACTTCCATAATGTACTTAAAGCGTTAGTTCACCCAACAATGAAAATTGGCCCATAAATTACTCACCCTCAAGTCATCCTAGGTGTATATGACTTTCTTCTTTCAGACGAATCCAGTCAGAGTTATATTAAACATTGTCTTTGATCTTTCAAGCTGTTTAATGCCACTCAGCAGGTGTTGCATGCTTCAGTCCAAAAGAAGTTAAATAAAAGGCGCACATCTATTAACAAAAAAGTGTCTCACACGGCTCCGGGGGCTGAACAAAGGCCTCCTGTAGTGAATCAATGCATTTTTGTAAGAAAAATATCCATATTCAAAACATAATAATCACTTTAATGTAGCTTGCGGCAGCAGTTATACACGGAAGCAGCTCCGGGCGGATGAGGTATGAGGTCAGCATTACGCATGCGCCGGTGAGTCTCGTGAAAACCAGAGTTTGTTAACAGGAGCAAAGGAAAACCAGTCTCCTCTTGGCTTATATCCAAATCCTCCGGCATTCTTCTTTACAAATCCTCGTTTTGTACTTCTAATTAGTGACCGTTGTTTTGTTTTGATCTCTCCGCGTGAGTCACTTCTGAGCGGCGCATGCGCAGCGCTGAACTCATACGTCATCCTCCCGGAACTGCTTCTGTGTATAACTGCTGGCGCAAGCTACATTAAAGTGATTATTACGTGCTGAATATGGATATTTTTCTTACAAAAACGCATTGATTTGCTACAGGAGGCCTTTGTTCAGCCCCCGGAGCCGTGTGAGACACTTTTTTGTTTATGGATGGGTGCTTTTTATTTCACTTCTTTTGGACTGATGCATGCAACACCCGCTTAGTGGCATTTAAACAGCTTGAAAGATCAAAGACAATGTTTTATATAACTCCGACTGGATTCGTCTGAAAGAAGAAAGTCATATACACCTAGGATGACTTGAGGGTGAGTAATTTATGGGCTAATTATCATTTCTGGGTGAAATAACCCTTTAAAGTGCTCTATTTCCGCGCACTAGTTTTAGACTTAGTATGCTAAAAATGATTGTTTAGTACTTCCTAAGTTAACTTAAAAACATCTCAACTGTGCTATTTTGGGACACCATGAATACGCACTAAAATGTGTTACTATCTCTGTAATTTAAAAAAACATATTTAGTTAGCACTTGTAGAACCCGTCTTTCAGACACTAGTACACTCAAGTGTTCTGCACGTGGTGACTAAATACAGAGATAGTATGTTAAAAGTGCATTTTAGTGCGTATTCACGGTGTCCCAAAATAGCACAGTTGAGATGTTTTTAAGTTTAACTTAGGAAATACTAAAGAATCATTTTTAGCATACCAAGTCTAAAACTAGTGCGCGGAAATAGAGCACTTTAAGTACATTATGAAAGAGTACTTATTTTTAACGTGGGTATTAATAAAGAAAATAGATCTGTAGGTCTTGGGAAAAGTTACTTTTAAAGTAATGCGTTACAATATTGCTTTACTCCCTAAAGAAAGTTACTAATTACGTTACTTAGTTACTTTTTATGGAAAGCAATGCGGTATGTTACTTTTGAGTTACTTTTTAAATCTGGGCGGGGCTTGCTTGTTTGTTGTTAATATAAAAAGTTGTAAAAGCCCTTTCACAGCAGAAGTGAAGTGAATATGTCTCAGGCTGAAGGAAATGTAAATTCACGTCTGTACAGTAGAGGACGCAGCTCAAACTAATCTCATGAAGAATATGACGCAAGTTCAACACTACTCAGCAGAAACACAAACGTGTCATTTTTGTTTATTAGTATGGGCTTGCTTGTTTGTTTTTATTATAAACAGTTCTTCTTTTACAAACGTAAAAGCCCTTTCACAACAGAAGTGAAATGAATGCGCCTCAGGCTGAAGGAAATGTAAATTCACGTCTGTACAGTAGAGGACGCAGCTCAAACTAATCTCATGAAGAATATGACGCAAGTTCAACACTAAGCAGAAACACAAACGTGTCATTTTTGTTTATTAGTATGATTGAATTGGATCATCGAAGGTCAGTAGCTAAAACACTGGTTAATAAAATGGGATTAAATACATAAATGATATTTGTCTTATTGAACATATTTAATTATTGCAGGTTTGTAAGTATTCTGAGTTTGCATTTGACAGTTTGTATTGATTGTGAGGAGCACTGAATGTGTTTGTGTGCAGTGAGATGAGTAAACACATGATCATATTTAGTCTAGAACTACAGTAAGATCATGTTCACACACAACGCTCTGCACTCACTCCTGATTTCTGTCACCGTGGCAACACCAGAGCTGTCACTCAACACATGGAAAGTCTTGAGACCTCATTGAAAAACTTGGAAAAGGTTTTTGAAATATTTCAGACAAAGGATACGATCAGGTTTTGCGTAAGAAGCTCCAGTGCTGCTGTCATTGAAGCAAAAGAGACACAACAAATATTAAGACATTCATGATCCTATTCTAAATCTTACAATGATGGAAACATTCCCACTAGTGTTCTCAGACTGTGTTCATAATACAGCACTGCAGAGACGAGGTGTTTTTGTATAGCGGCCAACAAAAGTTTGTTCATCATAATCTTCATGAATAAGCACAACCTTTATGAATTTTGAAGCCTAAATATAAGTAAACGTCCAAGACTGATGTTATGTAGAAGACTAATGTCCTGACAACTTCTTGTACCATTTAGACACTTGTTAGCCACCTCAAGGGGGTTTTACTTATGTATTTAATGTTGTGGAATAAAACATGAAAATATCTTGAGCTTATGTTGACCACAAATGCCTTATATTAGGCATTTAACCCAAAACCCATTCAAAAAACCAATCGACGATGAACCAGAAGAGCTAAAATTAGAACTCATTTCCGGGTTTTGGCCTATAAAAAGACCTCATCCCTGCAGCACTCTATTAGTGGTGTCAGTAATATCCCAGCCGTTTGTAGACTGCTTTCCATCGGTCTTACTGGCTTTATTTCTTTAATTCGTCCCTTGTGGACTGATCGGATCAGATGCATCGAATCAATATCCAGTGAGTTCATCTGAACCCAGATCCAGACCGCACTGTCACCATTACTGCTCAGCTGATGTGGATTCAATGGCTGATATAATGTGTCCCTGGAGCACAAAAGCAGTGTTAAGTCGCTGGGGGATATTTGTAGCAATAGCCAACAATACATTGTATGGGTCACAATTATACATTTCTCTTTTATGCCAAAAATCATTAGGATATTAAGTAAAGATCATGTTCCATGAAGATATTTTGTAAATGTCCTACTGTAAATATATCAAAACTTAATGTTTGATTAGTAATATGCATTGCTAAGAACTTCATTTGAACAACTTTAAAGATGATTTTCTCAATATTTAGATTTTTTTGCACCCTCAGATTCCAGATTTTCAAATAGTTGTATCTCAGCCAAATATTGTCCTATCCTAACACATGCGTGATATCATTGTCCAGCTGTTAACTCTTCTTTAACCCTGTAGATTCCAGTACCAAGTGTGCCTACATTCCAGCCCAACAGCAGTATTCCCCAGCGCCTGGAAGCCATACAGAGATACATCAGGGACTTGCAGTATCCTTTCACACTCGTCTTTCAGGAGGGACATCGATGTGCTGACGTTGCTCCTCTTGCCACAATTTACAGTCACTTTATGTCCTTCAATCAGCCGTTTTCATATTGTTGCTGTATGAACTTTATAACATGTCTGTAAATAGTTCACTACTGCAGTATTACACTGGTCCAGACTCTATCATGCACACTGGTCAGGAATCAGTCAGATAATTAGATAATTTAAAGAAATAGTTCACCCAAAAGAATCATGTACTTAAAGGCACAATATGTAAGATTTTTTAATCAAAATATCCAAAAACCACTAGAACAGTGTTATATATTTTGCTGACTTGTGTACTTACATTATCCCCAATGTTTCGATGAATGTTTAAGTCCAGAGAAATAAGCAATTTTAGCTAGTAACACGGAGCGTGTCTATAGAGTCATTGTGTCGCCTGCCAATGACATCATAACCCCTCGATTTCCAGTTTTATTTTGTAGAAAACATGGAAACACCGAAGACGCTTTAATATGTTGTGCATTTTAATAGACCGGCGACGGACACAGAGTAGCATTATAACGGAACTAAATGTATCTAGTATGATAAGACAGCGCTGCTTTGCCCCACATACGCACGTCCGGAAGCAGCGGACGCGCTCGACTGTGGCATAATAAAGGCTCTGCTGCTTTCCCCCACATACGCACGACCGGAAGCAGCGGACGCGCTCGACTGTGGCATAATAAAGGCTCTGCTGCTTTCCCCCACATACGCACGACCGGAAGCAGCGGACGCGCTCGACTGTGGCATAATAAAGGCTCTGCTGCTTTCCCCCACATACGCACGACCGGAAGCAGCGGACGCGCTCGACTGTGGCATAATAAAGGCTCTGCTGCTTTCCCCCACATACGCACGACCGGAAGCAGCGGACGCGCTCGACTGTGGCATAATAAAGGCTCCGCTGCTTTACCCCACATACGCACGGCCGGAAGCAGCGGAAGCGCTCGACTGTGGCATAATAAAGGCTCCGCTGCTTTCCAGCCGTGTGTGAAAAAAAAAAACATTGAGCTAAAAACATAAAATATTAATTATATTTCAAGTTTTTTGAAGTCATGATTCAAAAAACATGATTTTTTTTTAAATAGAATAGTTTATTGATCATTCCTCCGCTGAGGAACAGTGAAAGTAAAGCTTCTGGAAACAAACGCTCCTCAAAAGATGCTGAGGATCAGATTTGAGACTCTAAAACATGATTGATGGAGAATCAAGTAAAGCTGAGCTGCTTCAGTCCAGTAAGTGTTCATCTGGAGATATTACTGACGTTATTCTGACGCTTACTTGATCAAAACCAGTCAAGATTTGACAGCAGAAACACACATGGTTTCAGTGAACAAAGACTTTGGGTTTGGCGATTGTTGTCCATTACATTTTATCAGTGATTTCAGCTCATTGTTATGTTGTAGGCAGATGGAATTTAGGCCACAAGAGTTACATTGATGATGATGACAGCTGAAATATCAGAAAATGTCAAGAACAATGAAACATTGTGTGTGCTGTTGGTTTGGTCCAATGTATGTCACAATGATTTGTTACATGACATTTTTCTCTGTATATATATTCAGAATAATTCTCATGATATATTTCACTCATAATATAGGTTATTTTCTGTAAACTTTGATGTAGTGGTTGACTTTATACTTTATGACGTTATATAGTGCATTGTTTGTCTCCTGACAGTGTCCTGTGCTTAACATTGTCTGTCAGATACAATCACACTGGAACACAGTTTTTTGAGATCAAGAAGAGCAGGCCGCTCACAGCGTAAGACCCGTCCACTTAGCTGTCTCCTCTCTTAAAGCTGTATCCTTCAATTAAAGCAAAGTTGTGCTGTTAGCTTACTATATTCAGTACTTTTGATTATTATTAATAGACCTTATTAGGAGAATATTTTTCAGAATACTTTATTCATTTTAATTTTCATCTTTTAAAAATATTTCAGGCTCACTTGCATACAGACTCTTATTGCATTATTACCTACAATGTGTTTTTCAGATTGATGGACATTGCCAAGGAAATGACAAGAGAATCTCTACCAATTAAATGTTTGGAAGCCGTTATCCTCGGGATGTATCCTTCACTTGAACTGGATTGAAAATATTAACATTTTAATAGCATATTCATTTTTTTTCATACATTTGTGCGTATGAAAAGTGTAATAGTTGCACTCATACGAGTTGTGTTTGTGGTTGGTTCAGTCTAGCTTTGAATTTCTCCATTGTTCAATAACATCTGCTTCAGATGTGACATTCAAAAACAATCTGGACTGAAAGTGCTGCTTAAACTGTTCAGATCAGGCTGAAATTATCCAATCATATTTTGGTTTTGGTAGAAGCTTTTGCTGCAGCATTTTGAACCAGTTGATCTTATTACTGAAGGACATCCAGCAAGTAATGCATTGCAATTATCTAGTCTTACGGATTTTTTTTTCTTTTCATTTGGACAGTAATGTTTATATGTTTTATCATACAAAATACACTCCACTAACTTCTATACAGAGTATGTAGTAAATATAGAGCTGTCATAAGCTTAACAATGGAAACAAATTGGTTGTTTCCCATTAAAGTTTTTCATAAAATGAAAGCAACAGAGGACCTAATACTGAGCCTTGTGGAACTCCATACTTAATTTGTTAGTTTTGACAGTTCATCTTTCACAAAAAGTGGTAGCAATCAGACAAACATCGTAATGCTTGTTCACAAATGTTTATATAATACTCTTATCTGTCCAAGAGAATGGCATGATCTTTGGTGTCAAAGGCAGCAATTGAATAGTACTAGAAGTGAGATGCAACCCCAATCAGGTGATAAAATTAACATATGACAAGTTCAGTCTTTGTGCTATGGCTAAATTCTGATCTAAACCCAAAATATCTGGCATAAATGGAGAATTTGGGATGGGTCTATAATTAACTTATGTTACTGGATGATCAAAATAAGTTCAGAATCCAGTTTAGTCTTTCAGTAATCTTCTAAACATTTTAGTGACCGAAAGAAGGATGTAGGCAACAAGAGGATTTCTTGGGTGTCCTGGAGATGTCCAGAATTAAGGGCTTAGACAGATTTGTAAAGATTATTGCCTGCTGGGTCCAGAAAAGTGCTCTGTCAGACAGTCTTGAATGGTACTGGCAGAATAAAGACTAAACTAGATAAAACAGAAGGAGTGAAAACATTCTGAGATGGTAATTAGATCGTTCATAAATATGAAAACAATAGCTTAAAATGTTGATTAATTTGGAATTGGACATTGATGGTAGGCTTTTTTAATTTTTTTAATGAAACATACGGATAAATCTTTCACATTGACATCTATAGCATGCATTTAGAAAGTAGATTTTCATTTCATGCTGACTTTAACACTTCCCCTGTACTTGCTGATAATGTACACAGCTGTCTGTTGAATATATTACCATTGACTCCCTTAACACAGCTGACGCTTCAGTTACCTCACCAACAGCATGCCGACCGTCGAGCGGTTTCCTCTCAGCTTTAAAACACAGTTCTCAGGGAGTCATTTCCGTCACATTGTGCTGGGTGTCCACAGCGGCGGCCGCTTTGGTGCTCTGGGCATCAGCCGCCGCGAGGACTTGATGTACAAACCGCTGGAGTACAAAACACTCACGGACCTCCTTCAAGAGTTCCAGGTGGCCTATCGGAGATACTGGCACACACTGTGCAAGGTCAAGATCGGTCATTATGTGTCACACGACCCACACAGCGTGGAGCAGATTGAGTGGAAGCATTCGGTGCTGGACGTGGACAAGCTGTCCAAAGAAGAGCTGAGGAAAGAGTTGGAGAGCCACACTCGGGATATGAGGTTGAAGGTGCGGATGATACGCCTACGGTTAAATCATAATACTGCTGACAGTACAAAATTGTGTGTTCTTGGCTGCTCAGAAATCAGTGATTTTATAAGGAATAGCTCACAGAAAATTGGCCTGACCTGTTTCAGAGAAATTTGTTGCAGAAATGACATGCTTTCAGCAAATGTAAAGGTGAAGTGTGTGCTGCGCCAAATGGAATTGCAAAAATTATTATTTACAAACAGGTTTCCCAAACACTTTTATCGCACTTCTCTAGGTTGTCTTGCCAGTTAATTCCTAAAAATCTAATGATAGTTTGTGACTTTACCAGCCTTACGTGTTGAGAAGGAAAAACAGTAACACATTTTAGAGATATTGCAAGGTGATACTATGCTGTTTTGGTTTTTAAATCTGAGACTGTTGTTAGACATGATAACTAAATGATGTGATAATTGGCCCTCACTGATGAAGTCTAGATCTAAAAGACTATCTTTGAATAATTTCTGAAAACAAGTATCTCTGTCTTACCTTTATTTAGTAGTAAAAAGTTCTGTGACATCCACAGATGAATGATGTCTGTGAACTCCAGCATGTTTGTAATAGATTTGTGGAAATCGTGAAAGAGAGTTTTTCTGTCATCTGCTTAATTGATAAATCAAACATGTTTTCAAACAGTATTTAAAATAGCACCTAGAACTTAGTGTCATGTTGCTTAAAGCTTTTAGATAAGACTTGTCATCCAGCATTTAAAATACATTTTGGGTAAATGCAAAATGGACCTAATACAGAGCCTTGTGGCATTCCATACTCAGTTTGTGTTAGATTTGACTGTTCCTCTTGTAAACAAAGTGGCAGGTAATCATACAAACATCTTAATGCTTGTCTAAATGTAATTCTCTTATCTGTCCAGGAGAATGACATGATCTTTGGTGTCAAGGGCAGCGCCAAAATCAAGTAGTACTAGGCGAGAGATGAAAATAAAACACTTATTTAGTGATATCTGCCAGGTAGCATGAACATTTCACACTAATGGTTAATTTGGTGCTAATCTACCTCCTTCCAAACACAACCAGGACATCCCACTGCCATTTTGTTTGTACCCACATTTTCATGTGCTTTTCTGGGATCCTCTTTGATCATTTTTGTTTGCATATTTTGTTCATAAAAGCCTCTTTGAAAAACGCCACCATGAGTCATTTAACATTTACATTTATGCATTTGGCAGATGCTTTTATCCAAAGTGACTTGCATTGCAATTAAAACACTTTTTTCCCCTTTTTTAAAAAAAATCAGTCAGTCTCAAATGAATGAACATGGATTTTTTATATATATATATATATATTTTTTGTTTAAAGGTTCAATAAACTGTTCCATTTCAAATAATTAGATTATTTCATATGTCTTATGTTAATAATCACACCACATGCATTGTGTTTAGTGGTTGACTGAGCTCTGTGTTTCAGATCGGTAAAGCTGCTCCACCATCACCGTCTAAAGACAGAAAGAAGGATATGGGATCTCCTCTGAGGAACCCAGGCAGCCCGATGCGCAAGAACAGCCAAAGCGACAGACGGTACTTACAGATCATTCGCAACACTGATACAGTTACAACACAACATCTGACCAACAGGTGGTGCTGTTTTCACAGGTCGTCAGTGGAGAAGCGGTCCGGGCCGGCGGGGCCCGCGGCTGATGTGAACGGATACCAGATCAGGGTCTGAGATTCACGAGACAAAGACTGAAACGCAGCCATGAGAGGATGAAGATGTGTGTTCACTTGAACTACACAGAGAATGTGTTCACTTATAAGGGTAGACACGAACACCTCCTCTAATCATTCATTTAGTAGAATAGCCACATTATGAACAATGCATCATATTTATATTCGTTTTAATACTATGCCTCAGCTGTTCATTCTGCTGTAAGCAACTTTTCATATTTAATCTGTAAATACAGTGCAAGTTAACCTTTAACACTACTAGACACTGATGTAGAGGATAGCCTGTAGTCCATTTATTGGTGCCTTTGATCAGTTTTTGGACTGCAATGATTTTCTGGCTCAGTATTTTTGCCTTGTTTTCCAGTATAGTCTTAACATTTCTAAATCATTCAAGATACTTTTTCTTTAGAAGCAAAACAACTCGATTTTGAGTCTTGTTTTCTGAAGAAGAAAAAAAAGCAAAGCAAAAGTATTTGCTCAAAACAAGAAATAATATCTGTCACTTGGGTCAAATGTTTAGTTTTCTTGTTTTGAGCCTCTAGTAAATGTATCTTGATTGAAGAATGTTTAGATAATTTTAATAGAAAACAGAACAAAAAAGAAAGAACATTTTCATGCTCTTAATTTTAATTTTATTTTTCTGAGCGTGCTGGCAAATATTTGTTTGTTTTGAACAAACTCACTTCATTTTGATGCATTTTTCAGAAAACAAGACTCAGTTTCATTTAGTTTCTAGAGTACACCAAGGCTCGAAATTGGGACCATTTTGGTTGCATATGCTCCCATAATTTAATCTGTGCGACCTCAAAATATATTTGGGAGCATTTGTGCGAGTGCATATAATTGTTGTAGTGCGACCTGTTTTCATTTCTCTAAAAACATTCACAGTTATGCGCTTTCTGTGTGCTGATACGGTGACCTGTCTGCCGGTCTATCAAACGTTACATAACTTAATCTTTACATTCTTATCTTTAATGCAGATTTTAGATTGGTTAATATGAATTATTATATTACCTGACAGCGGAAAGCAGTGACTGGGTGATTAACAGCTAATATTAACCAATCTAAAATCTGCATTAAAGTTAAGAATGTAAAGATGAAATATGTTAATATATAATTTGTAGTTGGTGCTCATTCATTTTTGGTGGTGCTCCTAACTTTGCTGCCAAGTAAAAAAGTAAATTTCGAGCCCTGTGCATGCATCTTGATATATGAACGTTTAGATATTTGCACTGGAAAACAAGACAAAAATACAGAAGAAAATCTTTTTTTTTTTTTTTTTTTTTGCAGTGTTGTAATAACATCTATAATAATACGAGCAGTTCATCCTCCCTGACACACTTTTTGCACTTAGCGACACTTACAGCATTGAACTTTTCTTCTTTAGTTATCAGGTTTCACCAGTGATTCCAACCTGAACTACAATAGAGCAAATATTTGGCTTTGAAAGAGCAAAAGCACTCCCACTGGTGAATCTGTCTGGTGTTTCTGATGGCTCGAGTACTGATCATCATGTTATAATGGCCACTTTAGTGGACATGCGTGTATGTAAATGATGTTGCAGAATATACAGGGTTCAGTAGTTATGAATGCAGCCCGCGCCCCTGTTGGTTTTGAGATTTTTCTAACTCTTAAAAGATATGATGCTCAATTACACGCGTCCAAGTTTTTAAAGTCAACATGAAATTGACTTGAATTCATGTTCCTGCTCTTAAATAATTCATCAGTGCATAACATGCTACAGAAATAGCCTAAATGTTTGTCTTCATACTCTTTCATCAAAATAGGACTTGCTCCTCCTCTGAAGTCACGGTCTCATAATGATCAACCAACTATCAGTCATTGATTTCTCTGTTGAATACCTCGTAATGTGTTGTGACTGTGAGCATCATTTCATGTTGACTTTAGGAGTAGCGTGATGTAGATGTGTAACAGTCTGTTTCATTAGCAGATGTTCTCCTACAGTAGACACACACACACTTACACACTAAAGCCAAACACACTTGTTGTGAGACACTATGAAGTGCACTAGTGTGATTCTGATGTGAGCAGAAGACACTGATGCTGGTGCTGTTAAATGTTCTTCATTAGAACTGCATCCTGCCACATGATTAACTAACTGTGTGTGATTAACAGATGTTGCTATTGTTGATTTTTCACTTTGACGTCACGGCACTGAATGTCTTTCAAACCCTCACTGGCTCTTTTGTGACACTTGAAACTGAAATGTACAATAAATTGCCTATAATTTGTTTTTGTCAAACGAGAAACATGTTTCCGTCGTGTGACATCTTACTCATTATACTCCAGATTGAAGTGCTACAACATACAAAATATTATACATCACTGAAAGCTGAATAAATAATCTCTCCATTGATGTATGGTTTGTTAGGATCGGACAATATCTGAAAATCTGGAATCTGAGGGAGCAAAAAAATCTAAATATTGAGAAAATCATCTTTAAAGTTGTTCAAATGAAGTTCTTAGCAATGCATATTACTAATCAAACATTAAGTTTTGATATATTTACAGTAGGACATTTACAAAATATCTTCATGGAACATGATCTTTACTTAATATCCGAATGATTTTTGGCATAAAAGAGAAATGTATAATTGTGACCCATACAATGTATTGTTGGCTATTGCTACAAATATCCCCCAGCGACTTAACACTGCTCTTGTGCTCCAGGGACACAATTCACAAAAATAGTAAACAACAAATAGTTAAATAGCAAAACAATGCAAAAGTAAGATTATGAAAGTCTTTTCTAACGTATTCATCAATGTTACATTTTTTAATGTAATGCATGCATTTAGAAAACAATGTTACCACTTTACAATAAAGATTGATTAGTTAAATAGTATTTACTTATTGATAATGTTAAAGCATTAAGTATTTATTCATCTTTGTTAACATTTGTTAAAAGTACAGTAGTTCAGCTTCATCAACTAATACTAAGAGATACGACTTTTGATTTTAATATTACAACTTGAAGATGAAGAAATGCTTCAGATGCTTTTTTTTAGTTCATGTTAAGTAATGTAGTTACCTAATGTTAACACACAGGATCTTACTGCAAAGTTTTACCAGTTATTAACACTCAATTTGATTATAAATATATATTTTAATTCATTTTAGTGTTTTTGCTCCAGCCAAGCTTTTCTTGCAGTGAGGATGAACATGGTTTTAGCTGTGAATTACTTTGACCTTCTGCGAACCTCATTTCACCGAGATGGAAGAAAAAGCAACTTTCTCATGAATGTACTGTAAAGCTTGATATATGACGTGCATGTACAAACCCCTCATCCGTTTTCAAGAGAACACATTCAGATTCTTTCAAATGAAGGACTGTCATTAGATGTCCATAACGGAGTGTGCATCTGACCTTCAATAACAGCGTCATGTGGCTGTGCTCTTCATTTTCTTCTTTTTGTGTTCAATCAGCAAAAACGACAGCAATGCATGTAGTTATTTATTTAGCTCCGTTCAAAATATAAATTCAAAACCAAAAGAAACAAACTGAAAACTAATAAATGCATGCAAGTGCATTCTGATTACATTATCTTGAACATGTCAATCATAAACGGTGCATGGTATTTCCTCACATCAAACATCACGCTGGAGAATATGTCACACGTGCAAACACTCGCTCTGTTACTGAACAGAAAACTAAATATTCACCTGACCAAAAATATATTTTTTTCTTTCACAATCCAATTGTAAGGCAATGAAAATGATAAAGACAAGCAATCCTTACATTTGTCAAATGTTGGGGTCAGACGGGAGGAAGCTGAAGCTTGACGATCAGACTGAGATGATCAGACGGGAACGCTTCGTTAGGAAGTCCTCGCAGAGACCAGAGATCAGCCGCAGACAGCAGAGACAAACGACCCAGCAGCTTCAACCCCGCAGCGCTCTCTGTCAACACATTTGCAGAGTATCAGATGTGCTCCGTCAGGCTTTGATGGCTCATATAGTCTGATAGAGTGAGAATATGGAGGGAAAAACTGCTTAATTGAGCATAAATGTGCAATTCTGATATTTAAAATGATTCTGAAATTCTGCTGCTTGTAATATAAATCAGTGAGATCTTTCTAACAGTGCAGCAGAGACTGACATAAAATGATCTAAATATCAGTCGTCTCTATATCTCCAGTAATCTGTCTCAGTGAGATGAGAGTGAAATGCTCCAAACATATAATGCAGTGATTGAGAGCTGAAGAAATAAAGGCTCCTCAGAAGATGTGAGATGTTCTGGAGGCTTGAGAAGATCATTCCTCCGCTGAGGAACACATTTAACAGCAAAGTTTGATCATGTTGATCATTTAGAGACCTTAGCTATGTGCTTTTTTTGCTATATTGTTAACAGATAATGTGAGAATTATGATGTTTGATTCGGTGTTTGAATAGTATCATTAAAACTATTTTATAGTTTTGTTGATATTTTTTAATTTTACTGTATTTTACATATATATATTTTTTTATATATTTATCAGTTTTTGCTGTTTGTTAATGTCTATGTAGCTTTTATTAATTTTTATTTCAGTTTTAGTTCTTTTAGTAATTTAAGTTAAACTAATGGAAAATAAGAAATGTTGCCTTGTTAACTAACTGGAATAAAATAAGTGTCTTTTTATTTTAATAAATGTGACCCTGGAGCACAAAACCAGTCATAAGGGTCATTAAAGCTGAATAAATGAGCTTTCCATTGATGTATGGTTTGTTAGGAGAGCACAATATTTGAAAATCTGGAATCTGAGGGTGCAAAAAAATCTAAATATTGAGAAAATCATCTTTAAAGTTGTCCAAATGAAGTTCTTAGCAATGCATATTACTAATCAAACATTAAGTTTTGATATATTTACGGTAGGACATTTACTAAATATCTTCATGGAACATGATCTTTACTTAATATCCTAATGATTTTTGGCATAAAAGAGAAATGTATAATTGTGACCCATACAATGTATTGTTGGCTATTGCTACAAATATCCCCCAGCGACTTAACACTGCTTTTGTGCTGCAGGGTCACGTATATTTTATTTCAAGTACTAAAATTGTTTATATGATTTAAGTTTTAGTTCACTATAACACTGGTTTGCTTTAACAGTCACGATGAGATGGACCAAATCAGCATTTTAAGGGGCGCTGCAGATATTTGCAGATGGTCAGATGTGAGATAAGAGCTGATCAGCTCCGAGCATCACCTTCAGCTGCAGCAGAGCCGGTCCTGCGGCTGGAGAAGAAGATGTAGTCGACCATCGCTCCTCCCTCGGAGTTCAGAGAGCTGACCACAGCCGTCTGCGTGTCGGGCTGGACAGGACTGTAAGCTGACCTCAGGCTCAGCGCGTGATGCAATGCGTGTCCAAACCTGCCAAACACCAGATTTCATCAGGAACCTCGTCAGGAATCTCCAGACTCTTAACATCTCACACAACAAGGAGTTCTGAGCTGTGAAGCAAACCAACCAGCTGCCAGATGAAAAAAACATCTACTTGATAAAGTATTTGTGACCCTGCAGCACAAAAGCAGTGTTAAGTCGCTGGGGTATATTTGTAGCAATAGCCAACAATACATTGTATGGGTCAAAATTATAGATTTTTCTTTTATGCCAAAAATCATTAGGATATTAAGTAAAGATCATGTTCCATGAAGATATTTAGTAATTTTCCTACCGTAAATATATCAAAACTTAATGTTTGATTAGTAATATGCATTGCTAAATACTTAATTTGGACAACTTTAAAGATGATTTTCTCAATATTTAGATTTTTTTGCACCCTCAGATTCCAGATTTTCAAATATTGTCCTCTCCTAACAAACCATACATCAATGGAAAGCTTATTATTCAGCTTTCAGATGATGTATAAATCTCAATTTCCAAAAATGGACCCTTATGACTGGTTTTGTGCTCCAGGGTCACATTTGAAATAATAATAAAAGGCAAAGCCACAAGACTATGCACTTTAATTACTTATTATAGACTTTTGATTAAAAGCCAGTTCTCTGCTTGATGGATGAGGATTATGGTTAGTTCAATGGACAAGACTCTTCTGTTCCTGAACACCAGCTAACTCACCTTGAACTAAACATGTCCATGTCTTCTGGGTCTGTAAAAAACAGAGTATATTTCAGGGAGCACACATGATTGCCAACACCTCAGACGTATGCAGAAGTGTGTGAGAAGTTATGGGTCGCACCAGCTGTTTGCAATATTAAAGGGATGGCTCTCCCAAAAATGAAGATTCTGTCATTCCAAACCTTTGTTTAACTTCGGATAAGAGATAAAGCTAGGCTTAGGCACAGCTAGAGTAAGTCTATCACCTGGTGTTTTGTCAGTGACTCCTGGCATGAGCTCCAGATCAGCGGGCCGCACACACGCCGCCGGACAGTATCGCAGCTGACACAGAAACTCAGCGCTGTACTGACGATTGTCTACTGCAAACATACAGCTATGAGCTAAACACATGCATGCTGGGAATCCAGAGCGATTAGTGAACTGTTGAGCTGACCTGAAGCTGCGGTCTGTGCGTCAGACCTGTACTGACAGCCGTCAGTGATGCCGAGACTGCTGGGCCACAACGGAGAGAAAAGCCTCATGTGATGGATTTTATACGACAAATCCAGCTGACCTGAAACCTGCAAGAGCACACAATCCATTCATCACAACACAATCCAAATCAGTGTTGGAGAAGCTCATCTAAAAATCTTCAACAGTGTAATTAGATTACTGTTCAAATGTCCAGAAACTGTTCTGTACTCTCTCCAGAAAGTATTTAATTACTCATCACTAATTACTTTCTAAATCCTATATCAACCTTGACGAGTTAATGATACACGGATAGACATGAAACGGTTCTTTTAATTCTTTCAAGTAACTACATCAATTATTCTGGACACACTTTAGATTAGGGTCCAATTCTCACGATTAACTATGATTTTGCCTCAAAATACTCCTAATTACTGCTTATTAATACTTAGTAAAGTAGTTGTTAAGTTCAAGAATTGGGTAGGATTAAGGATTTAGAATAAGGTCTTGCAGAATTAGACGTTAATATGTGCTTTAAGTAATAATAAACAGCCAATATCCCAGTAATATTCATACTAATAAAAACTAGTTAATAGTGAGTCAATACTTAAGGGTTATTAACTCACCAAAGTATTTAAAGTGAGAAGGGTGCATAAAAAGCATGCATTTTAAGGTTAGACTTTAAATGTTGATGTTAAATCCACTATTGCATCGTGTATAAATGTTCTACTGTCTATACACAGTATTGAGTTCAATTACATAAGTAACTAATTAAATTAGAGAAAAAATAAAGAGTAATCCCTTACTTTACTTGGTAATTAGTTACACCCAACACTAGGGATGCACGATATATCGGCCACCATATCGGTATCGGACGATAAATGCTCATTTTTTCTGTTATCGGTATCGGCACGATAAGAAAATTTGGCCGATATCTTAAAGCCGATAAATAGTGCATTATTTCCTTCAGAGACACTTCAGATGCGTGCTGTTCGTTTGCAGCCTTTTGTGCAATTGTACATTGTAATATTGTGTTTATTTGATGTATATCTGATTTATCTCATATAGAATGCGTTTGGTTAAGTTAAAAGAGCGCTTCAGTTTACCGGTGATCGTCTTTAGCTCAGCGCACGCAGCTCAAACAGCAGTGCACAACATTAATAACTATGATTGGGAATGTTGTGTATATAACATTCTAATGAGAACATTATTATAATAAAACGTTGTGAATTCTTTGGGTTTAGTTGCCGTGTTTCAGCGCGTTGTTATGGGAAGAGCGCATCCACAACAGGATCACACATTCTGACTATAGCACGCAATAACTGCATCATTTTGTACATATATAAGTTGTAATATTATGTTTATGTGGTATTAATATTAATCTCAGGATGCATTTCCTTGAGTTAAATAAGCTGCCAGCAAAACGCTTCAGTTTACCATGTTCATTCAGCTCTTCAGCTTCAGCACGCGCAGCTCAACGGCTGCTATTTAAAACAGTGGTATTAATTTGTTACTTTTTCAAAATCATTGATACATTATTAATAACAACAACCACTTGTATTTTTCTCTTATTATTTTCATCAACAATATGGTTTAGTAATTAAAATCATTTAATTATTGTCCGTGCAGAGGCTATTCCGTTTTATTGATCTATGGCGCATTCATTTTGATTCTTTACACGTGTAATGATGTCCAGTGACTTGTTTGCATTATTTATGCATTATTTTATTTATTTGTAAGACTTTTTTATGACTAAATTTGGTAATGGGAGAGTAAAAATATTTTTAAAACGTACACCGTTCAAACTAGGCTGCTTATGTTGAAGTGTTTGGGATGTGGCTTTTAATGATGAGACCTTTTTTGTAATCAGGCTCTCAAAAAGTATATAACAATTTGGATATAGATTTATCGGCCAACATATCGGTTATCGGCTTTCAAAAATAAAGAATTATCGGTATCGGCCAAAATTTTCATATCGGTGCATCCCTACCCAACACTGATCCAAACACAACACTAAGACTGGGAAAACCACACACATAAGAAGTCCACCACAGTTAATGTGTCTAAAGAGTTATTTTTGCTGGAAATTTATCAAAAAATATCTTGCATTTTTTGCACAAAACAACTGATTAGGGCTGTGTGATATTGAAGAAAAATGCGATATGCAATACCTTGTTAAATAATGCGATATTCGATTTTTCATATCAGTCAATATCGATAATTATCACGATAAATGTCAAATCTTTATTTCTTTCAAGTTTAAAGCCAGATTTTTGCTCCAAAGTGAAAGTTGTAGAAACCAGACCATTAATTTTCCTTAACAAAATAAATGTCTTAGTAGAAAAATTTATTTCTTAGTTTCTGCATGTCCCAATGAGTGCTATTGTTTCAAATCAAGAAACGGGTTTGGGTTGCCTGATAATATTAATAATAATATCACTGTTTTGTCTCTTAGAAATGCACATTTGATAGTAGCTTGAGTTAGGATGCAGAGGTACATTTTTGTTCATTATCAAAATCAGTAACAGCTGTAAAAATGGTAGCAACCTCAGTTTTATATGGTTACATTTAATTTGACGTGTTTTTATTTATTAATTTTTTACTAAGCATTGGTCTCCCATAGTAGCATGCATTTAAATCATGATAAACACAGTTAAAACCACACATATAGCACCTCAATGCCATGGTAAAAATTTAACTTTATGGTAAATTATGTAGATTGCAAAGCCTTCTGACGGTCTCGTTGCACACAGTGTTTCTCCTGTTTGGCTTTAAACTAGTTTAATCACTGAGTCAATTGTGTTCATGGCTGAGTTCAAGCACTGGATCTCACAGCGCTGTTTAGTGCTCGCGTGACCGAGTAAACGCATCTGCTCTAGCGAGCTCGCGCAGCGCGGCAGTTTGAACTTTGATAAACGGTCCGAGTCGCGCTGTTTCATTCCACTTTTGGCGCATAAACATTATATCGAACATTGATCGAACTCTTCATATCGTTTTATGTCTTGCAGAGACTGACAAAAATGAGCTCCTAAAACTTACTGCCAGATTCTGGAAGATCAATTCTTCAAACTGTGGTACAAAGAGGATGTGGTGCTGGTCCTTCAAGAGTCACTCTCAACTTATCTGTCCATAAAGCCTATAAAAAATAGTCTTCATGTATTTCACAACACTTCAGAATGTTATTCTTATTAAGTAGGGGTCATTTTTTTGGATTTTTTTTAGGGATGCACGATATATCGGCCACCATATCGGTATCGGCCCATATCGCCTCATTTTTTCTGTTATTGGTATCGGCCTGATAAGAAAATTTGGCCGATATCTTAAAGCCGATAAATAATGCATTATTTCCTTCAGAGACACTTCAGATGTGCGCTGTTCGTTTGCAGCCTTTTGTGCAATTGTACGTTGTAATATTGTGTTTATTTGATGTATATCTGATTTATCTCATATAGAATGCGTTTGGTTAAGTTAAAAGAGCGCTTCAGTTTACCGGTGATCATCTTTAGCTCGGCACACGCAGCTCAAACAGCAGTGCACAACATTAATAACTATGATTGGGAATGTTGTGTATATAACATTCTAATGAGAACATTATTATAATAAAACGTTGTGCATTCTTTGGGTTTAGTTGCTGTGTTTCAGCGCGTTGTTATGGGAAGAGCGCATCCACAACAGGATCACACATTCTGACTATAGCATGCAATAACTGCGTCATTTTGTACATATATAAGTTGTAATATTATGTTTATGTTGTATTAATATTAATCTCAGGATGCATTTCCTTGAGTTAAATAAGCTGCCAGCAAAACGCTTCAGTTTACCTTGTTCATTCAGCTCTTCAGCTTCAGCTTGAGCTGCAGCTCAATGGCTGCTATTTAAAACAGTGGCATTAATTTGTTACTTTTTCACAATCATTGATATATTATTAATAACAACAACCACTTGTATTTTTCTCTTATTATTTTCATCAACAATATGGTTTAGTAATTAAAATCATTTAATTATTGTCCGTGCAGAGGCTATTCCGTTTTATTGATCTATGGCGCATTCATTTTGATTCTTTACACGTGTAATGATGTCCAGTGACTTGTTTGCATTATTTATGCATAATTTTATTTATTTGTAAGACTTTTTTATGACTAAATTTGGTAATGGGAGAGTAAAATAATTTTTAAAACATACACCGTTCAAACTAGGCTGCTTATGTTGAAGTGTTTGGGATGTGGCTTTTAATGATGAGACCTTTTTTGTAATCAGGCTCTCAAAAAGTATATAACAATTTGGATATAGATTTATCGGCCAACATATCGGTTATCGGCTTTCAAAAATAAAGAATTATCGGTATCGGCCAAAATTTTCATATCGGTGCATCCCTACCCAACACTGATCCAAACACAACACTAAGACTGGGAAAACCACACACATAAGAAGTCCACATGTGTCTATGTGTCTAAAGAGTTATTTTTGCTGGAAATTTATCAAAAAATATCTTGCATTTTTTGCACAAAACAACTGTGTGTGATATTGTGATATTGAAGAAAAATGCGATATGCAATACCTTGTTAAATAATGCGATATTCGATTTTTCATATCAGTCAATATCGATAATTATCACGATAAATGTCAAATCTTTATTTCTTTCAAGTTTAAAGCCAGATTTTTGCTCCAAAGTGAAAGTTGTAGAAACCAGACCATTAATTTTCCTTAACAAAATAAATGTCTTAGTAGAAAAATGTATTTCTTAGTTTCTGCATGTCCCAATGAGTGCTATTGTTTCAAATCAAGAAACGGGTTTGGGTTGCCTGATAATATTAATAATAATATCACTGTTTTGTCTCTTAGAAATGCACATTTGATAGTAGCTTGAGTTAGGATGCAGAGGTACATTTTTGTTCATTATCAAAATCAGTAACAGCTGTAAAAATGGTAGCAACCTCAGTTTTATATGGTTACATTTAATTTGACGTGTTTTTATTTATTAATTTTTTACTAAGCATTGGTCTCCCATAGTAGCATGCATTTAAATCATGATAAACACAGTTAAAACCACACATATAGCACCTCAATGCCATGGTAAAAATTTAACTTTATGGTAAATTATGTAGATTGCAAAGCCTTCTGACGGTCTCGTTGCACACAGTGTTTCTCCTGTTTGGCTTTAAACTAGTTTAATCACTGAGTCAATTGTGTTCATGGCTGAGTTCAAGCACTGGATCTCACAGCGCTGTTTAGTGCTCGCGTGACCGAGTAAACGCATCTGCTCTAGCGAGCTCGCGCAGCGCGGCAGTTTGAACTTTGATAAACGGTCCGAGTCGCGCTGTTTCATTCCACTTTTGGCGCATAAACATTATATCGAACATTGATCGAACTCTTCATATCGTTTTATCGAGAAAAATTATAATCGCGATAATTAACGTTATCGAATTATCACCCAGCCCTATATATATATATAGGGGTTCAAAATTTTTTTTATCGCGATTAATCGCATGATTTTCTGCGATTAATCGCATTATGTAAAACATTCAATAATGAATTCAAAAGTAATGTAGTGTGCATTTTTTTTAGTTAAAGGGGTCATATAATGCGATTACAAGTTTTCCTTTCTCTTTGGAGTGTTACAAGCTGATTGTGCATAGATAAGATCCCTGAAGTTGCAAAGACTAAAGTCTCAAATCCAAAGAGATATTCTTTATAAAAGTTAAGAGTCAGCCCCGCCTACCTAAAACACCTCATTCTAACACGCCCCCACATATCTACCTCACTATGTGGGAAGATTTAGAGTAGCGCTTGTTGTTTGTCATTTCTCCGATCATAAATGCAGACATGGTTTTATGTTTACGCGGCGCGATGCAACGCAACACGTAAAAAGACAGTACGAGTCATTATAATCTGTAATTATGTCCCCACTGGATGCAACAAATGCCTGGTTTATAATGGGTTTTAATAGTGTCGTCTCATCGCGCCGGGACACAGGGCATCACAGTATGGTGAGCGGCGTAACATTTCCGTCACACGCTTGAGGTATTCGGCCAATCACAACACACTGGATAGCTGTCCAATCACAGCACACCTCGCTTTTCAGACCGATGAGCTTTGTAAAAATCGACACGTTTCAGAAAGGCGGGGCATAGAGGAGAAACAATAATGTACAGTATGTGGAAAATAATGTGTTTTTTTAACCTTAAACCGCATAAACACATTTCATTACACCAAATACACAAAATACTGTTCTTTTTAGCAACATCATATGACCCCTTTAAAAGTACTGTTATATGAACAAAAGTGCTATAACATTTGGTTTGCAAACACTTTAAACAAATAAGGTGCTTTTTTTACAGCAGTATTCCTTTTACATAGTTAGCAGTTAAAATTGTTCTTGTAAATCTCAACTTATAACATTAATGTAATCAAATTAAATATTAAACAAAAGCTATTTGCTACTGCATTAAAGTTTTTATAGAAAATATTTTATAGTTAAATAAATATGTTATAGAAAAACAAATTATGCTCAGAGTCCAGAGCCTCGATCATAACATTATAACAGATGCCTTCCAAGTAGAGACCTGCACTATCGCGGGACCCAACGCAGCAGAGTGCGGTGCGGGTCAACACTTGATGGGCGGGTAGAGACTTGTGTGTGCGGGAGAATAATTAGGGTGTACTCACACTAGGCAATCTTAACCGTGCCCAAGTGCGTTTGACCCCCAAATTCCAGTTCGTTTGACTAGTGTGATCGCTCCGTGCTTCGCTCGGGCGCGGTTCGTTTAGCCGGCCAAGGCTCAGTTGGAAGAGGTGGGCCAGAGCGCGGTTCAGTTGGGTTCGGGCGCGGTGCACATGTAGTGTGAGCGCTAACCGCACCGGAGCACAGAACTTCTGATACATGCAGCATGATTGCATGTACATTTCTGAGCGGCAAATGTGATAGATCTGTAAAGCAATATATTGTGAGAGGGCCGTGTGTTACCGCGTCTCAAACGACTCAAAATAATAAACCACAAAGTTAACAAAACGATGCACTCCACTGTGCTGAGCGAGAGCGCTTCTCTGCTATCTTCACATGCTATCAGAAACTTCCTATTTCCCACTTATGAAGTCACTCATGAAGTCTTAGGCCCACCCCAAATCCTCTCATTGGTTGAAACGGGTGATGACACCCATCCCAAGCCAGTACTGATCAACATCCCACCCTCCTGTGACCCATGGTTTGCCTGTATGTGAGCAACGGACTTTCATAATAAAAAAAACCTGCGTTAATGCGCATTAAAATAATTGTCGGCGTTAATCAATTAATGCGTTAACTTGCCCAGCCCTA